CTATAGGTTGAGAAATAGGATAGAATGTGTCAGATTTTAATTTGGTATAATATTGGGAGAAATTCAGATGTGCACCCTGTCCAAAGATAGTACAAGGCTGTACTATCTTTGCCCTGTCGCAGTAGCTCATAAGGAGCGTCGCCATCATCATCATGATCATCATGATCATCATCGTCATCCATCATCATCATCATCATCATCATCGTAAACGGCAGAGAATAAAAAAGGGTTGAGACTTGTAGAATTCCAAGAAATATTTATAAAGGTTCAACGTTTCGCCCGATTACGGGCTTCACCAGGAACATACCAAAAAAAAATGTTAGATCAAATGACTACACTAGCAAAGTGACCAAAGAGCGCGCGTCTACGTCACAATGCCGAAAGGTGCGTCATCATCATCATCATCATCATCATCATCATCATCATCATCATCATCATCATCATGGGTCCTGGAATTTTTGACAGGTAGACCACAATATGTGAAGCTAAACAACACAAAATCTGACACAATTCTTTGTAACACCGGCGGTCCTCAGGGGTGTGTTTTGTCACCAGTTTTGTATACTATATATACCAACGATCATAGAAGTATGTATAAAACAACACGCTTAATTAAGTTTGCAGATGACTCCGCTATTATTGGATTAATAAACCATGATGAAAAAGAGTATTTCGAAGAAATATGTAGGTTTTTTAAATGGTGCAACTCAAATTTTCTAAAAGTGAACCTCTCAAAAACAAAGGAAATGGTTTTTGATTTTAGAAGAGAAAAACCAACAATCCCACCACTCGTAATTGAACAAGAAACTATTGAAATCACGGATTCATACAAATATCTTGGCCTTACAATAGACAACAAATTTACATGGCAAAACCACGTAAACAATATCGTTAAAAAAGTAAATCAGAGGCTGTACTTTCTGAGGAAACTAAAGTCTTTCAATCTGAATCCATCCATCCTTCAGATTTTCTACACCACCACAATAGAAACTTTGATCAATTTTGGAATCACTTGCTATGGTAGCAATCTGGGAAGGCAGCACATTATAAAACTAAATAAGTTGATAAAAAAGGCATCAAGAACAATTGATAGAGACCTAAGTAACTTTGAATATCTGCACAAGACAAACGTTCTAAAAAAGGCGGAAATAATGCTAAGTGACTCGTACCAACTGCAGTGAGGTTACTGAACACACAGTGCTACAAATGAAACAGAGAGAGAGAGAGAGAGAGAGAGAGAGAGAGAGAGAGAGAGAGAGAGAGAGAGAGAGAGAGAGAGAGAGAGAGAGAGAGAGAGAGAGAGAGAGAGAGAGAGAGAGAGAGAGAGAGAGAGAGAGAGAGATGTCCCAGCCCGTGAGACATGTATTTACTTGGCATAATGTCCTGTCTTGTTGTGCGTTTGCGTGAGTGCACCTTTAAGTCTAACCTTTGTAACGTCTACTGCCATTGTTAACGACCAAGACAAATTTCTCCCTGCGAGATGAATAAAGATTTTCATTGTCATTGTCATTGTCATTGTCATTGTCATCATCATCATCATCATCGTCAAAACTTGACCTCCCGGGGCAGTGCCACTGACTGTAATGTCTTTAGGCTATTCCCAAAGGGGGGACATTTCTTGTTCAAGCATAGTAGAATTGTAAATGGGCTGACTCATGTCACGCTCATAACTGTGCCTGATCTACAACAGGGAACTGCTGCTTTTTCTTTCCTGATCCTTACTATTGTCATTTTCCTCTACTTCTTTTGCATGTTTGTCACTCTCTTGTGACCTGCTATTCCCGGGGTGCCTTGATAGTCGAAGCAGACCTTGTGCTGTTGAAG